GTTTAGCGCGATTGTTGATTTTGAGTGTATCGGTATAGTTGTATTCGGAAAGAATAAACCAGTTTTATTAAGTAAAGAACTTGTGTCGCTAAAGTTTTGTCGGAACGAAGTTACGGAAAGTTAATTAACAAACGGAGACGTAACAACATTTTAAAGTTAAATGTTCGTTTAAATATATATACGTTTCTTTAAAAATAATTATTTTCTTTAATCTAACACGTAAATTGTAATTGTATGCTTTTGTAAGTTATTAACAAACATATTCGCAATTGAATGTTTCTGTTTGGAAGTTTTAGGCTTAAGATCCTGGATATTTATTATTATGCAAGATACTAAGCTTTTAAAGAAAATCGCAGACATTTCTTTATCTGTACATGTAATATAGTTCTTTTACTTTTTTTTATTTGAGAGGGCAAAGTCTTACCTGTAGTGTAGTACGTGTCTATTATTTGTGGGTGAGTGGTATAGTGTTACAAAACCCCAATTATATGATGTAATCATGATTATCGGTCGGTTAAAAACCGAATAAAATTCCTGATAATCGAATGGATGAATAAGCAAGCTGTACTAAAATATCTAAGTTGTTATTTCTGCAGTGATAAAGGTTCTCTCATTAAGATGATTGTGAATTCAGGTGTGGCTCGAATACTGTGGATATATTATCAGTATGCGTATGATCTACATGTCCGTACGTAGAGGGAAAAAATATCAGGATGGAGCTTTAGTTCAGTCATGAAGTGTATTTGTGCTTATATAAACGGATTAAGCTCTTGTGTTTATACAAACGGATTAAGTTCTTGTGCTTATACCAACGGATTAAGTTCTGCGAAAAGTAGAAACATTAAACAAGCTATTCGATGTGAGAGATTAAAACATTTATATATTAGACAAGTAATTAGATTTCAAATCGTTCACGAGATAGAGCTATGAGCTAAAAGTTTATACTTGAAAAAATTCAGAACCATTCTATGAGCCGCTTTGCCGCGGCTAAAAATTGTGTGTATATAAATATATATGTAAAAAGTATATTTTAATAACCTTTCTACAGAAACGACTTTACATCATAAGAGGCGCTCCTCAGCTTCAGAATGCAGAATTAAGATATGTTTCTTATTCTTATGTAGGCTCCAATCTGTGGATCCACTTCTTTATAATTTTGCGCTAAAGTAAAAAAAAAAAATGCTTAAGTTCAATGATAACATAAGAAAACAAAAAAATTAAAAATGTCTTTAGGACTGGATTAAAATTCAGTTTCAGAAACCATTTCTCTAATAAAGGATATGAAAATCTCCAGAAGATAATATGTATGTCTGTAACGTTAAAATAATATACCATGATAGAGTGATATACATGAATATATACAGTATCCAGTGCTACAACAATTAAAAAATTGTCAAGGGGAGGTGGGAGGCTGGTGGTACCTGTCTAATCTAGGAAAAATGTTTAAAACTAGAAAAAAATTTTCTTCTCTGAAATTTGACTATATCACTGGTTATACTTATAGAGATATAAACATGATATCTCATTAGAAGTGATATTATTTAGGTGTTCTATCTTTCTATCTGTTTGTCTGTCCATCTATTTTTTAAGCTAGAAAGGAAAATAAATTAATTAAAATATTAGTGTATCGAGATAGAGATTTGATGATATTTTGTGTTTGTTGGGTCTCACATGGCCTGGTGGTTAGGATGCTCGTCTCGCACCCTGCGGGTCGCTAGTTCGAAACCCGTCACTGAGCGTGCTCACCCTTTCAGCCGTGGGGACGCTATAATATGACAGTCAGTTCCACTTCTTGTTAGTTAA